TGAAGATGAAGTTGTAACCTCGCTTAAGAACATCACCTAAGAACAAAGTTCTTCTCCACATCATCTTGATAAAATCTTCAGACATGTACAGTTTCTCTCCAACTAAATCAACACCGTCCGTTTGGAGCTTGTAGCAATGGAGCCCAAGAAACTTGCACCTTCTGTACGACGTTTGATCCATCGCAATTATCAACAGGTGTTTGATTAATTTCCCAGCGCCTTCTCCGAGCCAGAAACCATCCAAGAAAATATCCAGCATTGGCTTATCTCCCTCCACGTATGCTTTATTTATAACAGTTATTATTATCGTCTTGTCCTCCGTTGCTGCCTTTTTCAAAGCTAATTCAAGGTCATCTCCATAGGTTTTTATGTAAAAAAGATTGTTAAGTATATTTGAAGGTTGGCATATGGAGTTTCGCAAAGGAAAGAGAGCTAAATTACCGCTTTTACATGAAGAGCTGATGAGGAGAATAAGCAGCAAACCAATAAGGTTAGTAGTGCATACAGAATATAGTGACTGTAGTTTTTGATCGGGTTCTTAAAATCCATTGTCAGAACGCATGAGGGACTCTAGTTGTGTGGCTGTTTAACGCTCCAACTTAGTTTACTTGACATTGGTTTTTACTACTGTTTAGTTTGTTCAACTACATATATAGTGAGGAATTCGAGTGGCTTACTAATCTATTCATTCACAAAATTTGGTACAGTATTCTGTTCAAATTGGAGAAAGAAATATGTTCAAATTGTGTATCCTACTTTATCAATAGACATTAATTCATACTATCTTTTAGTAACTAATTCAATATATCTTATAAATGCCACGTGAATAGTACCGCGTGATAGAACTTCTTTACACTTTTACACCAATAATATTTAAATTAAATATCATTTGAATGTACCACGTGGAACTCTTTAGTTTCATGTTAAAGTTCTGATGAAAGATTTAGAGTCAAACAAACTTGACTTTCCTCTAAAAGGAAAACGAGATATTTTATGTGAGGAGCGAAAGCTTTTTCTCATCATTTATATAGTGTTATTGCGAAAGTTTTCCTCTAAAAGGAAAACGAGATATTTTATGTGAGGAGCGAAAGCTTTTTCTCATCATTTATATAGTGTTATTGCGAAAGTTTTCCTCTAAAAGGAAAACGAGATATTTTATGTGAGGAGCGAAAGCTTTTTCTCATCATTTATATAGTGTTATTGCGAAAGGGCACCGCCAATTAGTAGAAATGATTGCTTCCATTACTATAACATAAATCACTTGCTTTTCCTATAAGTGCTCCAAACACGATGTAGGCAAAAACCTAAGAAATGTATAACTTGTCAAATATAGTGCTATGAGTCAATTATTTACTTTGACTATTTGGATTTGGGGATTACTAATAACACATAGGATGGCTCACCAAAACGTAACATAGGTGTTAAGGAGTCATCTCGACGTCTTATGACGCGAGGTCACATACTAAAGAGCTTCAAGAGAATTACCTGGACGACTACAATTGGAGATCAAAAAGTGTATTCTATTGGAAGATAAGCTAAATGGTGTGGAAATGCTTCACAAGTATTTTAACGTGCTTATAATGATGTTGGAAGATGATCCGTGGAATCCTTTTAAGAATAAGGTCATCAGAAGAAGAGACGTAATCTTCCGAAAAGTGAAGTTGAAACTGTTAATGACCAGTCTAAGAAGGCCAAGAAAAATATCGAATGGTATACTCCAGAACCTTGTCGCAGTTCCTTCTACTCCTAACCATCCCACAAGTACAAAAAGTACGATCGAGGAGGTTACCGGGCAGGGAAAGCAACCTAATGAGGTTGTTGAGCAAGGGGAACAAGTTGATGATAATGTCGAGCAAATGGAGTACCCTACTCAGGAAGAAGAACAACTTTAACCTCTAAGGAAATCAAAAAGGCTAAGGGTAGAGTTATGCAAGTACCCTTCCACAGAGTATGTCCTCATCAGTGATGAGGGGCAGCCAGAAAGTCTTAATAGGTGTTATCCCATTCAGAAAAGAACTGGAACCAGTGGATGAAAGACATACAAGAAGAGAAAGAATCTCTACAGAAAAATGACACGCACAAGCTGGTCGAACTTCTAAATGGTAAAAAATCACTCAGGTGAAAGTGGATCTTTAAACTCAAGAAAGATGAAAATGATAAGTTGGTCAGATATAAAGCTTGATTGATGGTAAAATACTTCAAACAGAAAAAGGTATCGATTTCGACAAAAGTTTCTCACATGTTGTCAAAATAACTTTTATTCGAATAATTTTCAGCATAGCAACTAGTCTAGATTTTGAAGTGGAGTAGTTGGGCGAACTACTAAAAATATTAATTTCTGACCGAACTTTGCGACTGAATATTGAATGGTCGCTAATGCGACAAAATTTACGACTGCAGTGTAAGGCCCCGTAAATTTTCGGAAGGTAATTTAAAGTTTCGTGGTGCCGAGGTAGGATAATGTGTTCGAAGATTTTAGAAAACGACTCGTGGTACAAACATTTTGGATTATACAATGCACAGTGGAGTTGGTAGAAGAAATTACAGAAAATGATAATTTTGTGGTCCATTATGCTATAGAGGATCTGTTCTGCTGACCACAATGACCACATAATGAACTAGAAGCAACTCAAATTATGAAAACTATTTTTGTTGGCCACATAATAATTTTGTGGGCCGCATAATGATTATGCTATCGCGAAATTACATCGCGGAATGGACCAGAGGCTACCCAGAAGTTGAAAATCATTTTGTGACAGTTTTGCTGGCCGCATAATGATTCTGTTATCGCATAATGGCCGCATAATTATTCTGATATCGCATAATGGCCACAAAACGATTCTGCTGCTCACAAAATGATTATGCTGCCCACATAATCGATTATGCTGCCCATATAACGATTCTGCTACCACATAATTGACTTCAGCGGTCATTTTTAAAAAATTTATTATCCAACCCAATAAGACAGAATGTTTGAAATATAAGAAGCGCCACTTGGGGACGTGTTGGATGACTCTTGAAACATGTTATGGTTGTGGAAGGAGGGGACACAAGAAGAACAAATGCCCTAGGTTGGGTACACCTAGCCTTGTCTGTCCGATATGCGGGCGGGAACATTTTGCGTCGTGTTGTGAGTATACTCAAGAGTGTGTTAGGGGTGGCAGGCTTGGAAAATTCCAAAGACCCACACAACAAATCAGTGTAGAGATTGTTACTCCCGCCATGAAGGCTTAGAGGAAGGATAGGGGGAATGATTTTTATGTATTCAAAAAGGGTAAATATCAGGTCAGTTGGGTCAGTCAGTTTAGTGGACCACATCCCCGTTGCGTGAAGCGTAGGAGATATCATTTGGGGGTATGTCACTATGGTACTAATGTATGTTATGGATGTGGAGTCGCGGGGCATCAATTAAGGTAGTGAGTGCCATGTCAATCTAAAATCACCATGTACGTCACTCTTTAGTACATTATTATGAACACTGCATAATTGTCCTTCTCGTATATGTACATCTATATTGAAGAGCCTTCATAAACATGGTCTTAACAAGATGCTGAATCAAAAAACATTGCATGCACCTACTCTTTGAACGAGACGCATTATTCGTGAAGCCACTTTTTCACAAATCCTCTTATTTATGACCTCTTGTGCGATTGAACTCTATAATTATTTTCTTGAATTGAGTTATAACCCTAGGCTAATAATTCCCACTTGCTTCCCTAATATCCTCAACAAGGGACCATGCCTGATAAATTTCTTATAGAACCTTCAGACTCGAATGGATAATATTTTCTCACTTGTGCTTATCCATGCACCATCATAAAGTTTACCTATGTAGTATCAAATTCAATGTAAAGCAGCCTAGTATTGAAATCCTTCTTGAGGCACTCTTTCTCTCTCCGATGTATGTGGCTTATTTGGTTGGAACAATTACTTTACTTCTTTGTGAATATTATCATGAAACCTTTTCACTGTCTAGTAACATGAGAGCATATCTCAGCAAATATCATATGTGTACCTGTCAATTGAAAGGGGTCACTTGTCCGCATAAAGTTTCTGGGGAATTTGAGATTTTCAAAATTCGTCACAGGAAGATATTTTTGTTAGCCCATCCCAGTATGACGTTCATGTCCACCTAGATCATGCCTCAGTGAGTAACTCACTTTGTTCCTAGCATTGTAATTTCCCATGAAGTAGACTGGTATTGCAGCTTGAGAGTTATTATGGTAAAAACTTGTCTAGCTCATAGCAAAGTGTTCATTCTCTCTAACTAATACATGATTTCATCCCAATATTAAGATATCATAGCTATGTGGTTTCACTCGTGAAAGGTTGAAATTAAATGCTTTCAGATTTTGGCACATATCATGATCATATTGATTTGAAAGACAAGTTTGTCGTATCTCTAGTCCTCTCATATATCAACAACTATCAGGAAAGGTTAAGTTGCCAGAATGATAATAATCTCACAAGTATTCATCTTTTTTTTTTTCAACCTTATGGCTTTGTGACATAGATTCCTTGTGTCAAATACTGTTAATAGCTTAATGCAACTTCTTGTATTTTAAAACCCATATCACATTCAGGGTGCCAGAATATTCTCATTTCGAGTTAAACTGATTTTCTCTACACTCCAGGAGGCGACTGGTGTCACGTACTTGGGTATTCCTCCTTGAGGCTTACTATTGCCGGACAAGGCACGTATGGAATAGAGTAATTAATATTGTCTGTCTCATAACTCATAATCTTCCAAGAATAACTGATGTTAATATCTTTATCCTCTCGATCATGCCTCATATATGTCACATGTCAAAAATGACTCACTTCTTTTACATCTCTAGATCATGTACATGTTTCCAAGTTATCAATGTGTACTGCACAACTCTATTCCTCATTTGTCGAATTGATAATGTCATCATAATGATTAATCATGTCAGCGCTATTGGTAGTAACCTTCATGTCTCTTAGGATATAACTTCCTAAAATACCCTTCTCGACACATTGATGGATTCTTGAATAATTCCAGCCCAATCTCGAACATCGTTGTCCCTATTTATAGTAAACCTATGGGGGTTGAAGGTTCAAACATGTCAAAGAAGAAGCATCATCCCATGATCAAATATATTGGGTAGGAACGTTTATGGTCATATTCATGCTAGCACATATTAAAGAAATTGTTGAAGGTTGCCAAAGGTTTAGTTTGGGTGTTCACAATAGAGATTAAGAGTTGAAGAAAGTGAATAGGTTATTCTCAGAATTTTC